GCAGCTCCAAGCATCTGTTGAAGGTGGCAGCTAGCAGCGAGTGCACCCTCGGGCTGAGATTTTTCAACGCTAGGTTGAATATTCCGTCAAACCCGGGAGCCTTCATGTTCTTACTGTATTTCAGCGCTGAGCAAATTTGTTCCTCTGTAATCCGTTCTTCTGGAGGGACGGCACAAGGGGAGGCATCTAACGTCAGGACGCACTGCGCAACCTGGTTCTCGAGTGGACTTGGGATTTTAGAGCCAAGCAAATGCGACTGGGCAATGTGCTCCCCAATCGCATTGGCCTTCTCTTCGTTGGTGATAAGCCGTTCGTCATTGACTCTAAGTGGTGGAATGGGCTTGGGGTGAGACTTCAGCACCTTGGCAACCTTCCAGAATGGTCTGGAACGGTCGTCCAGGTTCTGGACGAGCCGCCCGAAACTCTCGTTCCGGATTGAGACCATTCTGGAAGCGATCTGCCGATTCAGATCGACCATTTCGTATTTACGCTGCAGATCCCCAGTCCGCTGAAACTGGCGTCTACGAACATTTCTGAGCCGAATCAAGAGTTTGGTGTGGGAATCAATTGCTTGAAACTTACCCCTCACAGGAACTCGTCGAACGCACTCTTCGTTAGCCACGGATATGGCTTGATGGAGACCCTCCAGGGCCCGGTCGATGTCATCCACTGTGTCGAGCGGTGGGTTGTCGTCGATGTGGCGGTCGACCACGCGTCGAAACTGGACCCAGTTGACTCGATGGTAGTCCTTCCGCTGGCACGGTGCAGGGGCCACGTTGTAGCCCAGCTCGGTCAGCACCGGTTGGTGGTCCGAACTCAGGTCGTTGACGGCAACCGGCTTGGCTAATCTGGTGTTTGCCAAGAACAGGTCCAGCGTCGATGGGTTGCCCGTCGGTGATGTGAAGGTTGGTTCGTCCGGAAACCAGACGGAATAGAGACCATGCTGGGAATGGTCGAATAGCAGGCGGCCGTTCTGGTTCTGCTGGTAGTTCCGCCAGGCCTCGTGCCGGGCGTTCAGGTCCCCTCCGATTACAAAGCGGGCATTGGTGTGGGTTATGATGGCAAGGTCGTTCTTGAACTGCTGTGCTGTACCATTGCTAACGGTACATTGCCGGGGGCAGTAGGCGGCGATGAACCGGACGTTTCCGGTCGATGTTTCCACCTCAACGCCGACGGCCTCGATGATGGAAGTGCGGTAGTGGGGTAGGGTGCAGTACTTGATGCCTTTCTTGATGATGACCGCGACACCGCCCCCCCTGGAGCTGGTGCGATCAAGCCGGACAATGCTGTGGTCGGGCAGCCAGAAGCTGTCACCGGTCTTGAGGTGGGTCTCGGTGAGAAGGCCCACGTCGATGTCGTGCTTGCGGAGGAAGTCTGCAAGCTCAATGTTTTTCGCCCCTACGGAGCGAGCGTTCCAGTTGGCGATCTTTATGGGTTCACGGTCCATAATTAGCGACGAAGGAGATGATAGCTTGGAGCTGTTGTGTTCTTGTTGCGCAGGTGCGCTTGATGATGATGGCCTGGGCCAACAGTGTGACGATCTCATCCGTTGACAGCGGAGAATCGTCTGTAGCTTCACCGGTTGTACCGGCCAATCCCGGAGCAGGGGGATCCGTCGATGGGCCGAAGGCTTGACTGGGTACTGCAGCGGCAGCCGACTGGGCAGCAGCCAACTGTTGGTTGAGCGGGAGCGGCGCCAACACTGGAATTGGCCGTGGTTGGACCGGTGATAACGGAGGAAAGTTCTGCGCGTTGTTTTCCGGGACCTTCTTGCGACCGGGCTGGTTGTTGGACGAGGCCTTCTTCCGGATCTCGGCGTATTCGGCCCGCTTCGGACAGGCCTTACTCGTGGCCTTGTGGGCAGCACCGCAGTTGGCGCATGTGGGAGCGGCTTCCTCGATGCTGTCGCAGTCGTCGATCTTGTGGTTTTTGCCGCATTTGATGCAGCGGCTGGTCATGCGGCAGTTCCTGGTGCCGTGCCCGAACAATAGGCAGTTCGAGCACTGAGTGACGCCACGGTGGGTTGGCTTATACCGCTCCCACTTCACTACGATGTGGAACAGTGTGCGTGTCGTATGGAGATCCTTCACGGTTGTGGAGTTCTTCTGCAGATGGACCAAGTAGAGCTGGTCACGATACTTGATGGCCTTGCTGTGGGTCATCTTGTGGATTTCGACCGGCTTGAGGCCGTTCGCCTTAATCTCGTCCATTAAGGTGGTGGTGTCCATGTCGTGGAGCCCGCGCAGCACCACTTTCAGCGGCTTGGTGGCCTCGACGTCGTGGGAGAAGTACTCCAGCTTCATCCTGTCCAAGAGGGCCTGGACTGCGTTGTAGTGATTTTCGGCCGAGACCATCAGTTTGTAGCCTTCCGTGCACCGTTGAATGGTGCAGCGAAGGCCCTGCTTAATGTAGAAATCCAGCTGCTCCCATAGCCCGGGAGGGAAGCCCTTCACATAGAAGGGTGGCAACTTAACTTTTTTAGGCACCGTCTCAGGGTCCGACTGGGCTCCGTTCTGCAGGGCGGAGAACGGATTGTTGCTCAGCAGCTTTTTTGCTGCCGATGCGGTGGCGCTGATGTCTTCAGGTCTGGGTCGTTTAGTTCCGGGAGGCCCCGGCTGCGGGTCCGCAACGCCTGTCGGGACGGGCAATGGGGTTTTCTTCTGCTTCTTCTGAGCTGGCTCGGTGGTCGCGCCGTCTCCTGGGAGAGTCTGTTTTCCCGGTAAGCCGGCACTCGCGTTACCGCGCGATTTCTTACCCATGGCTGGGTCAGCGAGAGCGTCACTATACAACGCGGAGCTAATTCGACTTGCGAACGAACGAACGAAACTAGAGAGAATTCAAATCGACTGAACTGCTCAACAGTCTGGCAGCGAATGTGAACAAAAATTCCAAATTTCGGCTTTTTTATACCTACTCGAGGGTTAAATTCTTCTTGTTAAATAGTTGTTGTATTCTTGTTCTTTCATCGTTTCTGATTGGTTGATCACAGCAAACGCATGTTATAAAACAGAATGGAAGTCGTTTTTATTTTTTATTCCACAGTTAGCTTTCAACGTGAACACATCGTATACATCGTATGCGTCGGAAAATGGCTCGCACCAAGCAGACCGCTCGCAAGTCCACTGGAGGAAAGGCTCCTCGCAAGCAGTTGGCAACGAAGGCCGCTCGCAAAAGCGCTCCAGCCACCGGAGGAGTAAAGAAGCCTCATCGCTTCCGGCCAGGCACCGTCGCCCTGCGTGAGATCCGTCGTTATCAGAAATCGACCGAACTGCTGATCCGCAAGTTGCCTTTCCAGCGTCTCGTCCGTGAAATTGCCCAGGACTTCAAGACCGATCTGCGCTTCCAGAGCTCAGCTGTTATGGCTCTACAGGAAGCTAGCGAGGCTTATCTGGTCGGTCTGTTCGAAGATACCAACCTGTGTGCCATCCACGCCAAGCGTGTCACAATCATGCCAAAGGACATCCAGCTGGCTCGTCGTATCCGTGGTGAACGCGCTTAATTTCCCCGTCGAAAATCTTACCAAACCGGCCCTTTTCAGGGCCACTAAGTTCATATAAAAAAGAGTTGGAATAGATTTCTTAAAGAACTACAAAAATAGTTTTCACCAAGTCATGGCTATTTTTTTATCATTGATGGCGCTGTTCCATTGATAGTAAGTTAGAAATTTGAAAAACTGGATGGATACATATTATGGTGAAAATAAGTCAAAAATCATTCATTAACGTTTAGTTTTTTTTCCTAGAAATTTTTGATAAATAGTATTTTCTTAGAAGCTGAATTGTTATGTATTTTTTATGCAGAATATGCTAAATGGGAGGGACTTCAAATGTTAATCCTTCCTCCCCCACCAAATGTTACAGAGTGTCATCAAAGTACATGGAATGTTGAGATATTGAGAGTGAATTTTCTCTTTCAAATTTTAATGTTTTGGCTCTCTGGGGATTGGTAGTAAAGCGGTTAAAACTGTATGGAAAAAAAAAACTTTTTTATTTCATTCTAGCTTATTTACAAAACTTTTCAGGAAAAAACTGAACGACAAAGTCCATTTCTTTAGGTTGTCGTCAACTTTTTTTTTTTTTGAAAGCTTAGTGAAATTCACATGGATTTCATGCATTACATTTGTGATATATTTTTTGAGTGTATCCCCTGTTTCCAAGTTTGGTACAAGATAACACTCTGGAGAGCATTATGTGTGGTCATTGGGAGCGTGTGGTTCTGAGTATGGAGATGAGTGTGCAAAATATTACGCAATTCCATCCTCCCTATCCGCACGCGCCCGAGGATCGGAGGCGAATGCCACTTCGACTTGTTTCGTCTACTTACTACTCTCTGACGACTGTGCTGGGGAAGCAGCTTATGCATGTAGGTAATTGGTGGATTTGTTAGTTAATTCGACGCTTTTGGACAATGCTGGAAATTTACCAGTTTTTCAATAGTTTCTTGCTGAACATCAACATTTGGAAGCATTGTTATCGATGCGTAGCCATATTTCTGATCGAAAGGTGATAAAATTATTGAAATTGGACCAGGGGCAGCTGAGTTATTAACGTTCAAAATCTTTCTTAATTTGTTACATGTTCCATTTTCGGTTTTCACAAAGTGTACCCCCATATACACAGCAAAAAAAAATGTAATATCGATCAATGTAATTCAAGCTGATGTATGAAATAATGATGTAATAGCTAAAAGCAGATACAATATTACATCAATGGATGTAATTTTGTTCGCAAAATCGATGTACATCGTACAACGTTATATTACACAACCGATGGATTGACCTGGTTGCAGCAGTTTGGATGTAATATTCAACAACTTTTTTTTCTGTGTAGAAATCAAAGACGTAGTCCTACGTCAAAAAACTTCACTCGGCGATACACCCGCTAGTGTGCGTGCGTTAAACGTCACTAATCTCTATTCACACACACCATCTGACTTTCATTCTGATATATACCTCTGCATTTTGATAAACGTTGGTTATCGAAACGAAACGTCAAAACAATCAGTGCATGTGCTGCTGGCTGGTTCGAATCGAAAAATCTCAAAACTGTGCTGTTGATTGCATAAACAGACCGGATAATAATTATTATTGCGAATGGCATCTTTGGCCAGATTATTCCAAAATTTGGCAATAAAACCCCTTGTCAACGATGTTCGAGTCATAGCGATATCAAGCATTTCCACGGAAAGCTTGGCCCGGGTAATGAATAAACCGAAACCAGGAACAGGCAAAGCTTACCGTAGGATCGTGCACTATCCTGAACAGTACACCGTGGAACCCTTAAAAGTGACTAACTTGGCTGGTCGGGATCCGGAAACAGGACGTCTGGTTGCTAAAGGAATTGGAGGAGGCATCAAGCACAAATACCACTGGATCAAGTGGGTTCGTGATGGGCCCCTGGAAGGTCCACCGCAAGTTGAGAAGGTTATCGACGTGATCCACGATGGCTGCCGAACAGCAAAAGTAGCTTTAGTCGCTGTTGGAGATGAACTAAAATACATTATCGCTACAGAAAACATGAAAGCTGGTGATTTGATCAAAACATCCAGATTCATTCCTAGAATTCCAGGTTATTTTGAAATCCAATTACTGCATTATATATTTTTTACATTAAACATGTTTATTTTAGTTCGCGCCAACGAAGGTGATGCGTATCCATTAGGAGCATTGCAAGTCGGAACACAGATTAATTGCGTTGAAAAGTATCCCGGTCAAGCGTGTCACCTTATTCATTCAGCGGGGACTTACGGAACTATTCTGCGCAAATTCGGTGAATTGGTAGTAGTTCAGCTTCCTTCGAAGCAGGAATTTGCGTTCAAGCAAACGTGTATGGCCACCGTTGGACGCGTTTCGAACATTTATCACAATAAGACTCCAATTGGTTCGGCTCAGAAAAATCGCGAACTTGGCAACCGGCCGCGATCGGGTTTGTGGCATAGGAAGGATGGTCGCCATGGACGAAAGATTCGCAAGCTGCCTCCAATGCGTGTGGTTGCTCCTCCTTCAGACCCTGCGCCAGAGCCGATCACATTCACTTTGAAACTTTAGATGTTCAGAGGTGCTGATCCTTTAGAATGCATTATCTATTTAGGTATAACAAAAAAGTTGCCATAACATTTCTTGTGGCATGCATTCAAATAATGTCTTATCCTTCTATCACGTTCCATTTTAATCTTTACGCTGGCCTCGGCTTTGTGCTCTTTGAACACTATCACAGTAGGGAAAATTCGGGCAAGCTGGCCACCCTAACGAAACTCGATTATAATTGCACTGTTTTGACAAGACAACATGTTTTTCTATTATTGTACAGAAACTTCAATGATTGCATGTTACCCTGCACTTTGATCAGAGAGCGTATCGTTGGTCGAGGCACATTTCGAGTATGAGAAAGTGATTACAGTTTGCTCAAAAGTGCCTGAGTAAAATGCAAGTACTTTCGATGATTACCCGTAGTTGCAATAGTACGATGTATACCCATATTCTCGTTTTTCCAGGCGTTTATTTGATTTTGTGTGGGGGATGGGTTTCGGACGTGGACGGGCATATGATGGGTGATAATATTAAGTTTACTTTAGGATAAAGTTGAAAAATTGTAACTCTACTGTCTGTTCCCGGCAAGTTCTCAATAGCCATAGACCTCTCGAGCTGGGTTTCAAGGTTGGCATACTACTGGGCAATCGGAGGGGCTACGCGACCAAATGTGCAGAATACTGTCACCTGATTAGAGTTATGGAAACAATGTAAGTGTGGTTCAAGATTAAAAGCTTTTATTGAGGAAAACTATTGTGGGTGCTCATATGCTTACATCGGCAGAGCCCAGGCAAGGCCGGAGTGACTACCCAGAGGGGAACGTCTCCTTGGCGGTTAGGGAGGGGTCACGAGACAAATTCCTCCACGCCGATTATTTTCGGTCTAGCTTGAAGAAGGCTAGTTTCTTTACTTTTAAACATACCAGCCCTAGGAACTGCTAAGCTGCGGCAAATCGTCACACTCGAATTCAATAGTACTGCCCATAATCGCATATCAGTCCTATATGGATAGGAAATCAAGCAAAGATGGGACTGATATGCGATTATAAGTAGAGTACCACTCACTTATTGTTTGGCTATTTTAAGCACTTTAACTGCCGTTATACGCATAACTGTCCCATGTTCTATGCAATCCTTCCTTATGCACTGTGGGACTCTTATGCGTATAACGGCAGTTAACTTTTCGACACCTTTCATACGCGAACGCCTGGACAGTTAAGAAGAATGGCGGGTCGTTCATGGGCTACCTAACTTCTGTCCCTTCGCTTTTCCATCCCTCCATCCTATATCCCAATCGAAAAATTCTTTCTCCATTTCCCGTCTGCATCTCCTTGTAGTAGTTGCACCCACTGTGTTGTAACCTCTCCCCACATTACTTTTATACATTTTAAAGTTTAAACAACTCCCTACTAACAAATTAACAATATTTTAATACACATTATTTTATTAATCCTACTAACCAACACCAAATAACTTATAAAGACGTGACAGTACATTATAAATCTTGTAACAAACGATTACAAAATTGAGAAATGTATCACTTCAGTTTGAGAAGTACTTCTCTTCGTAACCGATGAATCATTCTGATGGTCCACAATACCGTGCAGGCACCGTGGGTTGGGTTAGCTTGATGTTTATAAAGTACTATTAGTTAACACAGCACAACATTTTATGTGAGCATCAAAGTAATCATATAATCACAATATAACTTTAAATGTAGGTTCAGAGTGAGACGATGTCACTGAGACACGATATGGTTAGTTGGGTATTCAGATGAAACTATAACTTTAAAAAACGAATCCTGGTTGTGCCGGCGCCGGTGGTATAGTGGTAAGCGTGACTGCTTTCTCACCTCAATGGGTCTGGGTTCAATCCCAGCCGAGGTCGGTGGTCGATACATAATTCAAATGGTAAAGAATAATATATTTACATTGGGATGCAAAAATTCTAAAATCCTGTGCAATCCCTTACAAAAAAAACTTAAAAGGTAAACCATTCTTTGTCCTGTTGCAATCCCATTATCATCATTTTTTTTAAATTAATTAATATATTGTTTAAAAGATTCAGGGTGGCCAGCGAACCGGGAAATATCCGGGAATTTGAAAAGTAACCGGGAAAACCCGGGAATTCGACGAGAGAATTAAAATAAATTTACCATACCATAGGAACAAATTTGTGTACCAAAATTTCAGAATAAACCATTAAAACAGAGTGATTCTTTACCAAATGAATGTCTAGCTCTATTTGCTGTATAATTTTCTACAGTTTCTCGTCTCGTTTCGTTTAGAATTTAATCACTCAGAAAAATTTCAAATTAATTTTTGTCGTTTCAATTTCATAATTTTTTAAAATATTGAAGATGCTCGACCTTGAAAACAATAATTGTAAAACTGAATCTGAACTATTCTTTTCCGAGGTTTTAATTTTTCGTTTTCAATGCGAAATTAAAATAACCATGCAATTTTATTCAAAATTCTCATGATATGAATTCCAGAATTAACTTGGAATTATGTTCTAAAATATTATATTTTTTTCTAAAATTAACCAGAAAACACTCCGCTTAATAATTACCGTTGAATTCTTTTTTTAAATTTTCTTGTAAGAATTTGATTGTAATTCTTCTTAGAATTCCCTTCCCTCCCCTTGGCTAGTTTTTTAACCTGGACGTTGGTGGGCGGGCCTAATCTTATGCTTCAGAGTGGAGCGTTGGAGACGGTTGGTTTAGGTCCGGCATCGTTGGCTCAGGCTGTGACAGAATAGCGTCATGAACATGCGATGAGGATTACTGAGCTTCCCCTCTCTGATGAACCATTGCATAAGAGAACCAAAGTTCTAGCCTGAAGTGATAGTATCACACTTGTTACTCCTTTATTTAAAAGCCGCGTTGTAGTACGCTTACGTATAGGCACTGACGTTGGGTGCGATACTGGCGGGTTTTGCCGCAAATCACTCTTATTTTATTAATTTTTACGCAGATAGATTTATTGGGGTTTGCAAGGGAATTATACTATTGAAATATTTCAGAAAGTGCCCAACAGTGCTCCTTCTACTTGCGTGACAAGCTTTCGTTGTTGTTTTCATTGAGGTATTACTCAGGAAACAATGTTAAACACCATTTTTGTACATGGTATTGCAACTAATCTTATATGAGCTTCATTTTGATTTGGGATGTTGGAGGCGAACCAGCCCAAGGCTGAAAGCCTCCTTAATAAAGCTAAATAATAATAATAATTGATTTGGGATAAGTGTTTGAACTATGGCTCGGGATTTCCACTGTGGCGTGTTTCTATTGTGACATAACCATACGTATTTTTGTGGTGCGACATAGTGGAAACGTGTGAGCGTAGTTGAAGCATATACCCTATGTAATTTAAAATCAGCTAGGAAACTTACTTCAAAGTGAAGCATTTTAGTCACTTGTAGGTGTCACCTGGGACGAATTAATATATATAAAATATAGGTCAAAGTCAAAAACAACTTGAAACACGTTAAATTTTAGATTACATTCACAAGTGCAGGTACTTAATAAAGCATGGTAGGTGGATTAGAGATTTCAATTATTTATTAAATTAGACTAGAGATATCATAATCATCAAACGAACTTAAATAAGAAAATTTAGACAGCCTAGTAGCATTCAGTGGATTAACAGAAGAGTTAGGATGCGGAGGGTCCGCTTAGGGAGGCAACTAGCCTTTAAAGCAACTGACAACTAGCCTTTTTATTGTCTGTTTATTTGGATTATTGCTTTAAGATATCAATTTGGTATATATGTGAAAGGATGAATCAGTGGGAGATGGATTTTCGGTTTCTTTACATTTAGCATCACTATGTGTCATTTCCTCAAAACCCCCCAATAACCGGCCTCTTCAATCCCTTCCTTTTCCCATGGCGTTCAAGTGGTCCGCATAGACTATTCAGCAATTACCCGTCCTTTATCCTCGGCTTTGGATTGACTTGCGCTCCCATTGCCCCACCAAACGCTGCAAAATGAAAATGAAAAATTCTTCTTAGAATTCCCTTCGGAGACTTTGATTGCTTTGAAATTCTTTTCAAAATTTTCTTTTAACTCTATTCAATACAGCAGAAATCTTTCGAAATTTTATTTAGAAACCCCTTGGAGTTTAAAGAATTTCTTTCTAATTATCAGCATTTTTTTTTGCAATCAATTTTGTTGGAGCTCTGTGATGAATCTTTAGCAGTAGGGTTAAAATTATCACCAGAACACTCTTAGAACTATATTTCTTGTTGAATTCTCATCATAATTCTATTGAAATTCTTCTTAAACTTCACCTCAGAATTGCGTAGGAATTTTCCTTAGTTTTCTTTTTACAACTCTTCCTGAAATCTTCCAAAATTATCTAAGAATTCAATTTAGAACTTTTTAGAGCATCCTCCTCCACAGGAATCTCTCCAAATTCATCTAAAAATTTATAAGCACTTCAAGTCAGAATAATTCTGAAATTCTGCTCAGAACTTCTCCTTGGAAAATTATGTGGAAATCCTCCTCAATATTTGTTTGAAATAAACACTTTGACTACTTTTAAATTTTACTAAAAATTCCAGGGTTTGTCTGCAAGATTGTTATAACTTTTCAAATGCTTCCTAGTATCAGAGCCTTGCCAATTATGACTCAAGTATGATTTATTCTGTGATCTTGAAAAAATTTCTAAATCGTTAATTATTTTTTCTCCAAATATTGCATCACGAAAATTTCTAAGAAAAGTTCTAGTTTCAGAATCCACACAAATGACAAAACCCCAGAATCTTGGGAATCTTCGTAAATCGCTTTTTTATCCTTTCAGTCATATTCTTCAAGTATTGGTCTATTGGATGTGGGTATTAAATTTCATGAACCATGTTTATTTTTTTTTTTTCCTTTGGTTTGTTTTTTCCGTGCTGAGCACCAATGCTACCGACGTGCCAGGAAGGCAGCTCCCACACCTGGACCCTACCTATCGACCCATCAACTCATGAACCGGGGACCAACGGCTTTACTTCCCATCCGAAGGAAGGCGTGATCAGAGATGTTATGCCTCAGAACATCCCGGCGGCGCCGACTGGGATTAAACCCAGGCCTGCTGGGGTGAGAGGTAATCACGCTTACCACTACACCACCGGCGCCGTTATGAACCATGTTTAGTTTCGCGTTGAGCAAGTTCCAACGTCTGTAAGTTTTACATATTATTTTTTC